CTGAGTTGAAACCGACTCTACGGCATTTCCCAACAACAATCTTTATGGAAGCTGACTGCCACATCTTTCTCCTTTGAAGCAACCGGTAGTTCAAGCCACCGAATGGTTAGCATCCAAGCACTTAACCAGTGTACCACCAGGGCTCCTTACAAATTGCTGTTATTAAGTGCCATTGAGTCTGTTCCGACTCATAGCAACCCTGTATAGGGTTTCTGAGGAGCCGCTGGTGAACTTGAACTGCCGATCATGCAGTTCAATTGGTTTTGCAGTCTGGCGCATTAACCCACAGCACCACACCAGGACCTACAATCTAGCCAGCAGCAACTGACATCTGCCTCATTGTGAGTGAGCAATAGAGAATGGTGGGGACTTCGGCAACAGCTGCACTTGACTTCCAGCCAAGAGTTGTCACGCAGGAGGGGGCCTCATATCTACTGATGTCTCAGAAGATGTCAGACTTGGGATTTCACTCCTTCCCCATCTTTTGATTTTCAAAAACATGTTGGCATAGACACTCACTGCAAAGCGGACAAACCATGGCTGCAGTTTTTTGCAGCTCTGATCTTAAGCCTGAAAAATAAAACCAAAGTTAAATCGTGCATCAGGACAATGGCAGGAAGAGTTTGGAAATCACAGGGGCTGGAACTTGTTAGGAGTGGCAGCTTCATTGGGGGGTGGGGGTGGCTCTCGGGCAGCCTGTCCAAATCTTGGGCTGGGATTTAACAACATCCATCAGGTGGCCCGAATGTGTACTTCAAAGCCAACAGGGGCCTAAGTGCCCTTCTGGCAACCACACTGTCCAGTACTGCTCCAAACACACTGTAGTTTCTTCTTCCCAGGTCCTCGGTGCCCATCACTGGTCAACAGCAGTTCCCCATTAGTCTGAATAATTTCCACTGGACAATGTGGTCTCTAAGGTTTTTTTCTAAGTTTTTTTCTTTCTTTCTTGTGCCTCTATTTTATTGGGATGACTAAATCTTTCAAGTATGTTAACTGTAAACACAGCTAATTTACCCCCTGCCTCTTTGAAACAGCTGCTGACAGCTGTACTGTGATCCCATCATGACCTTTAGAGACGAGCCTCCCCAATCCACATCGGGTGCGTGGGTCTTTCTCCCACCCGGAGCTCCACACAGCTGCACCAAATATTGACAAGCGTCAGCTCCTCTCTGGGGACCGGATGATAAACAGTGTGCTAATGGCCAAGAGAACTCCAACTTCTAGGAGTTGAAAGAAGAAAACAACACCACTACCAAATGTCTTCTTTTATTGCAAAGTTGAAACGGTTTTTATTTTGTCTATTTGTATACAATTTTCGCTAATGACTGCCCTATGCATGAGTTATGGGTACATTGGTCTGGGAGTTAATAAATCGTCTGAAATGAGAAACCAAACAGGTTGAAGGAAAGTAATCTTGTTGCCCTGAATCAAGATTAAAAAGAGGATTTTAAAAAGAACTTCAAATCGAAATAAATATCTTTGTTTTTTAGTTGTTCATTTGGAATAACTATTTACATGTTCAAATGGACAAAGGATGTTTGGGATGTAAATGGGGAGAACTAGCACCAAGCAAGACCCCACAGAAAAAGCCTCAATGCCGCCAAGAAGAAGCAAAAGGCAGTGGAGAACCTCTACTCCCATTGGTGAGGCATAGATCAAAGTCTATAGTCCAAGCTGCAACAGAAGAAAGAGAAAATATAAACAGTATTTAGAGAAGCTAACAGAACTGGAAGAAATGAGGAAGTCATGAGGAAGCTGAAAGAACTGAAGCAAAAAACAATTCAAGCTTTGGTTTGTAATATTGAAGGATTCTCTGGGCAAAATATTGAATGATGTAAAATGCATCAAAGGAAGATGGGAGGAATACAGGGTCACTGTACCAATAAGAGTTGGTTAATGTTCAACCATTTCAAAAGGTAGCATATGACCAATAGCCAGAGGTACTGAAGGAAGAAGTCCAAGGTGCATTGAAGGCATTGGTGAAAAATAAGCCTCCAGGAATTGACCCCCAAAATGAAATCTTTCAACAATTATGCAGCACTGGAGGTGCTCACTCATCTATGCCAAGAGATTTGGACGACAGCTACTTGACCAACTGATTGGAAAGGAAGCATGTTTGTGCCCATTCCAAAGAAAGGTGACCCAACAGAATGCAGAAATCATAAAACAATAGCAATATCACATGCAAGTAAAATTTGGGTGAAGATCATTCAAAAATGGCTGCAGCAGTACATTGACAGGAAGCTGCCAGAAATTCAGTCAGAAAAGGATGTGGAATGAGGACTATCCTTGCTGACATCAGATGGGTTTTGGCTGAAAGAAGATAATTGTAGAAAGATGTTTACTTGTGCTTTATTGATTATGCAACAACATTGTGGATCGTAACAAACTATGGACAACATTGTGAAGAAGGGGAACTCCAGAACACTTAATTGTGCTCGTGGGTAGAGGCAATTGTTACAACAGAACAAGGGATAACAAATGGTTCAAAATCAAGAAAGGTGTGCAACAGGGTTGCATCTTTCCATCATACTTATTCAGTCTGTATGATGAGCAAATAATCTGAGAGGCTGGATTATATGAATAAGAATGTGGCATCAGGACTGGAGGAATTGTTACTAACAACCTGCAATATGCAGATGACACAATCTTGCTTGCTAGAAGTGAAGAAGATTGGAAATACTTGTTGGTGAAGATCAAAGACTACCGGCTTCAGTATGGATTGCTTCTCAATGTAAATAACTGGACCAATAAATAACATCATGATAAACAGAGAAAAGATGGAAGTTGTCAGACTTAATTTTGGTCGGATCCACAGTCAATGCTCAGGAAAGCAGCAGTCAAGAAATCAAAGGATGAATGGCATTAGGCAACTTTGGTGCAAAAGACATCTTTAAAGTGTTCAAGAGCAAAGATACCATTTTGAGGAGTAAAATCATGGTATTTTGAATCACCTCATATACATGTGAAAGTTGGACAATGAATAAGGAAGACCATAGAGGAATTGATGCATTTGAATTATGATGTTGGCAAAGAATATCCAAAGTATCATGAATTGCAGGACAAACAAATCCGTCTTGGAGGAAGGACAGTCAAGATGCTCCTTAGACGTGATGATGGCAAGTCTTTGGCTCTCGTATTCTGGACATGTTGTCAGGAGGGACCAGTCCTTGAAGGACACCTAAGTATTGTAACATGGAGGGCCAGCAAAAAAGAGGAAGACCTTCAACGAGACGGACTGACCCAGTGGCAGTAACAGTGGGCTCAGACGTAACAATTGTGAGGACGGCGCAGCACTGGGCAGTGTTTAGTCCCGCTGTGCATAAAGAATCACTATGGATCAGAATCTACCCGATGGCACTTAATAACACGTGTTTCCATGAACGAACTTGATCACAATAGAGAAACGGCACCCAAGAAATCAGATTCCGTGCAGTCAGGTCTTCCCTGGATAACCCTGTTTTTCTGCAGATGCTGAAAATGTTTGCAGACGCTTGGTGCCCCAGACTCTAAACAAGCCGGGGCTCGTATGTACTGCTAGATAGAGGTGGGTCCACACTAACAAGATAGGGTGTACTTATGTCACATGCTCTGTCAGAAGCAGGTACTCCCCTCCTCAGAACAATCAACCGTTTGACACCAAAAAGGCAGCATTTGCCCAAAAGCAAGGCTCAGTAGTCAGAAAGGGGCTGGAAAGATGACTGAATGGAAATGGGGAAACTAGAGAGGAAGAGGGCAAGAACCACCATTGTATTGAAAGGATTGCAGCTAATTTCATGAAACAAAATAGGTATCAGTCATTGAAATGGAAAACTAATTTGCACTGTACACTTTCATCTAAGTCACAATGAAAACATTTTTAAAAGGGAGAGAGAGAACAAAAATGGGCACTTCCAGTCTGACGCTTGGTTAGGGGGAAGCATCCTCCAATAGGCTTCTAGAACCTTCTATTTGAGATTTGCATCCAGCACACCCTGCAAACTGGCAAACCTCCCACCACACCAGTTTTCCCTTCCTTCAAGAAGTTTGCAGGGCCCTCCACCAGGAGTCTATAAATGAAAATAAAGGCCCTGGAGACCTTCATAGAGCTCAGACTTCAGAGCAAAGAGGGTCCACTTGGGAGTTAGATAGTGTATCCGCCCCCCATCTCCCATCCTTTTTGAGAGTTAGGTTTATTCTTTCATGCTTCTTAAAATAGGGCCAGTGCTGACTAGAGTTCAGCATCAAGTCCTCCCAGGCGCTGCAATTTCGTATGGATTTCCTACCATAGGGGACAGTTGGATGTCTGCCGGTGTTTCCTAGGCCTGTTTTGATCTCAGCCAGCAGAACATATTTTTGAGGTCAACATGCCACACCCCCTTCTCCTAGCAGAAATCTCCCCCTTTCCCCTTCTGCCAAATTTTGGATCTGGGCAGGTCTGGGTAAACATCGGGGCTTCGCACGCCTCAGAATGAAACTGGAGAGGGCCGCCCACCTACCTCTCTACCAGCTAAGACTTCTGTTTATGAAATTAGCGTAAACGAAGAAATGGGGATAAATTGTTTAGGGAAATCTCTTGGTAACATCCTAACCATTTTCATTCATTCGTTTTATTGTGACATTTATTACAGGAATTTCCGCATCAGTTTTCCTTTCTCCCAGAAGAATGTGCCCACCCCTCATTCTGCCCCCGTCCACCTTCTGCTGGGTGGCCTGGCTCAGGGCGTCATAATTATCTCTCAAGTGAGTCTGTGCACAGCTGAGGCCTCCCAGCCAATGACTGGCCCCAACGTTCTTTTTTTCAGGACTTGTTCCTGCCAGGTTTTTGTCTGCAGCCGCTTGTAGGAGCTTGTCCATAGGATGCAATGAAAAACCATCAGAAGCCATTTGCCTTTCAAATTCCCCGTCTACTCCGACACCTTTGAAGTTGAGAGACGGGGAGGTCTCCGGAAAAGGTGGTTGGTCCAAAGGCTCCCTGCTAGTGCAGACAAGTGGGAGATCAAGGATCCATCTGGCAGAACATGGCCCCAGAAGGTCCAGCTCCTAGGAGGGGCTAGTGGCAGCCACAGGCCCGGACAACCATGTTTCTGTATTTTTTCAGGATGACATTGGAGCTGTCATCAAAGTAGAGAACCGAGATGGCGTTGAGCTGGGTTGGGGCACAGCAGGGCTTGGGTACTGTTTCTGGGTTGATAAAGTGGACCTGAAAGACACCAAGTGTTGGCAGTGGTGAGATGCAGGTACGGTAAGCCTCTCGGTTCCTATAAGCAAAGTGCACATTTTACTTGGAAGTCCTGGTGTGTCTCGCACTGGACTGCAAAGTCAGTTTGAACTGCAAGGTCAGTGGTTTAAACTCACCAGCTGCTCCTTGGAAACCCTATACAGGGTCGCTATAGGTTGGAACGGACTCAATGGCACTTCACAACAACAACAAAATGATCCTTGATGGAATTTACTGAGCACTCTCTGAACTAGTCACTTGATGTGTGCTTGCTCAGGCAATCTGGCGACTACACCCTTTTTACAGTAAAAGAACTAGAGTCTGGTGTTTGTGGACCATGCCGACACCTTGAAGATGGTGCAAGCTGCTGCAAGGCTTTGTTCTGTTGTACACGAGGTGACCTTGAGTTGGCACTTACAAATTGACAACAACAACAGCTATACAATATTATTTCTAACAGACTCTGGAGGAAAGCCCATGAAGGCAAATGTGTCCCAGGCCCATCAAAGTCATGTTCACTGTGGCCTCACTTAAGGGGGCGCAGGCAGGGGCGCCGCCTGGCCCAGATAGGACCTACCAGTGTCTGCACAATGGCGTGGTTGGTGGCGTTCATGTAGGAGTTCAGCGGGAAGGCACACTCTCCCTCGCAGTAGTAGGCGGCATAGCCTTCAGGGGCGATGATCCAGTCCTACAGAGAGAGGAGACTGTGGGACGGCATGGATATGTGCACTGTGGGCTGCAGCATGCCACAGCCCACGCAAACCCTTCAGAGCAGTCCAGTGGATCCTGAACTCATGGCATCCTCTCCTGACATTAGCAGAAGGCAAAACAAGCCCCGAATGGACATGTCATGTATTTTCTCTCCTGGGGTGGCAGGTGGTATAGGGAGGTGGGCGTTGGTGTCAGAATGACCAGGTCTGACAGCCAACTGTAGACCAACTAGGGTGCAACGCTTGGAGCAGTTTCTTCACCCAAATCCTCTGTCTCAGTTCACCTTCCTGCAAATAGACTAACAGCTCACTGTGGCTCAGGAGAGGACTGCAGGGGTGAGTCTGCCATGTGTGTGCTCTTCGATAAAGGACTCATGTGGCCACGCTGGTTTGCTGAGCCCAGAAGTACTGGTCTCCAAGTCAGTACCTCCTTCATGGACCCTTCAGCCCATGACATCTCCTGGCAGAGGCTCTGGAGCTGAGGTTCTGTGACAACTCAGACATGGACACCAATGGGCTCCTATGAGAGCAGGTGTCCTGAGGAAAGTGTCACAGGAGGGTGTTGGGTAACTTCTGCCTATGTGACATTTGGTCACAGACCCTGAGGAAGAGTGTAGACCTTCTTCCCACTCATCGAGACGCTCCCTGAGGGAAGGACACAACCACTTCGCTGTGATCACATGATATGCCCTTTCCAGGGTCATTTGAGCTCTCTGGAGGTGGGCACATCGTGATGCTCACAGCTGCTCTTCCAGGCCAGAGCAAGGCACCAGATGTACTGGATGTCCAATAGCTGCTCCATGCGTGTCATGTCAGAACTCATCGATGACACTTGTCGAATTGTATGGTCTTTCCTCCTTCTCCAGTGATTCTCCTCTGCCCTTCACCCCACTGCATCCAAATGATTCCAAATGGAGCAGCCATGTTCCTGTAACATGGCCCCGCCCCTCACAACAGTTGATTGGTTCAGGAACAAGCATCTGTCCCACACTGGACCAATCAACTCCTTCCCTGGGAATTTGAGTCATGGAAGGAGAAGAAGGGACAGACAGGACAGAGAGGGATATGTTGGCTCTCCTGTGAGCTGGACTCTAACTATCACAGACTCAGCCATGTCCCCTGACACTGCTCAGACGAGAGCAGCAGCCCATCCTGTCTGCTGGATGAGCATAAGGTTCCTGCAGAAAACAAGGTTCACAGTCTAATGGTGTGAGGCTTGCTGGTTATAGTTTGTGTCTCAGGCACATGGCTACTCTTGGGTTTCTTGAGATATAGTATCCTTAACCTATGTGCCCCTGCCTACACTGAGATCCATTGGTACTGAAGTCTCAGCTGACACCAATGAGGCACCCCTATATCCTTAGCCTACGTGTTCCCCTCTTCCTAGGCACTCAAGCCCTAGCTGAAACCACTAAGAACCATGCGATTGCTGCCTTGGGGTTGCAGGGAGCACACAGAGCCCACACCAGAGCTTCCACCCCCAGGACACCCTTCTCCCCTTACCTGCCAGCCCAGGTCTCGGAAGCTGACATACAGCTCGTGTTTCTTACAGGCCTGCCTCTGGTCACTGCTGCTGTTTTCTGCGTGGACAAGGGTGGGAATCAGCAGAAAAGGGGAGGAAGGGAAAAAGAAACACAAAAGTATGACATGTTTCTCATCCAAGACAGAGGCGCAGAGCTGGAAGGTGGGCGTTTGTGGTCCTGGGGCTTTATGTCCAACCCAGCCAATGGCTCAGCCCAGCCAATGGCTCAAGCCAAGGAGATGCCAAGGCCCCCAGCCCTCTGCCAGAAGAATGTTCTGGATCCTTTATCTATGTGCATTCTTTTAAATCCAGGTATCTGGCCTGAACTCCAGAAGGGTGTCAAAGCCCTTTAGGATCCCCATTTGAAGAAATCCGATTCTGTACCACCTTGCCCTAGGGGCAGAATCCACTCTGGAATGCCCACCCCTCCAGAGGAGGCAAGAGAAGACCATGAAGCAAGGGCTGGTATCTCAGTCTCCCCCTAATCACCACCACCTCAAAGAAACGAGAGGGCAGAAGGTCAAATACCACGGACCTTCCAGAAACACACACTACGGAGGCTTCTTTGAGGAGGAGGAGGATGCGCTGGGGTTTCCCAGAAGTATGCAAGGTTTGTAGGCGTTTGGGTTAGGGAGGAAGCACTTGTAAACAGTTCAGAGCCCCCGCTCCCCACATACACACGCAAACACATGCACTACAAATGTTGTCACTTGTGCAAGGCTCTCCGCCCTGCAGCTCCAGGGACTCTTTTTTTTAACGACCGAAAGCTTTCCAGTGGTGTTGTATCACCAGAATCCAACTCCTGCCCTTGGCCTGGACCGCCTGGTTTGGCTGACTTCTGACCCATCCATTACTGGATTCTACCACACTGCCTCCTTTCTGTGCCACATGCTCATTCCCACCTCCAGGGTCTCCCCACATGACTTCCTCTACCTGGGCTGGCGGTGAGGGTGCCGGGAGGGAGAAAGAGAAGGAAATGGCTTGGGGAGGGGGGGCGGGGAGGCAGGGCGCAGCAACATGGAGGAACCAGAAACTGGTCTCCATGGGGTTTTCCAGAAACTCTCAGGTCAGGAATGAAAAGAAAGGTCATTGCTCGTGGGCTCAATAGCATACCATCTTCCTTTTTAGCTTTTTAGAATATTCCCAAGTTTTATCCATATCTATAAATCTACAGTTTGGTTTCTGGGTAATGCAAAGTGTTCATGTTTTCAGCTGCTAAACGAAAGGTTGGTGGTTTGAATCCAACCAGAGACACCTTGGGAAGAAGATTGAGTGTTCTGCTGAAAACCCAGCTGTTCAAAACCCTGTGGAGGGCAGTTCTCCCCTACTCTGTTCAGTGGTCATTGGGAACTGGTTAGAGCTCAGAAAAGTCATTTTTTAAAATTGTACAAACTAATGGGAAAATTCCATTTACTCAATTATAACAGAACTACCTTTGTTTGTACGAGGAACCTGGCACTCAGTAGACATAAGCACCTTCTTGCCATTGTGGAGCACTGAGCATCTGCCTTTAGGTGACCTTCCTCACTGTCTTCTAGGTTGGGACCACTCAAGCCCTCACTCATTCACCCATTCATACAGATGCGTTTACTATGCATTAGAGACACAGGTGGATCCAGAACACAGTACCCGCCACTGGGGGGCTCTATTCTAGAGAGACACCGATAATCAACACACAATCAAGTACTGTAAATCAAGAGGAGTGCCTATGTGGGAAGGGGGCAGGCAGGCATGCTACCCTGGGGCCATTTGACATAGGTGCTAACATAGAAGACGGTCATGTGGATGACACAGGACAAGGAGGCATCTCGTCCTGTTGTATGTACACGGGAGCACCACAGTGGGGCTGAGCTGATGGCGGTGAGTAACAACAGCATCTAATAGAAATGGCATCTCTGTAAAAACCAAAAGGAAGTGAGAACTGAGCTGAGGAATATTCAGGAGAGGAGCAATCCAGGATGGGGACAATGAGGAGTGGGAAATGGGGAGATATCCCTAGTGACTAGAATCAGCAGTGTGGTGTGGGATAAAGCCCTGGACTGCAAGGTTGGTTTGCACCACAAGGTTAGTGGTACAAATTTACCAGCCGCTCCTTGGAAACCCTACACAGTGTGGCTATGAGGCAGAACCGACTCGACGGCACTTATCAACAACAGTAACTTTACAGAAAGACAGGGACAAACTTCTTCCAGGAAGAAGGAGGAGCAAGCTCCACATCAAGGGGCAGAAAGGCTTCAAGACTGGAGAGGGAGTGGTTCGAGGACAGAGGGGCAGTGAGGTGGGGGCAGCAATGTGGAGTCATGATGTCCCTTCCTTCCCTCCCTCAGAAGCACTCGGGGCAGTGAGAGCGAGAACAGCCCCAAGCGAGTGGGTGTGGGTGTGGAGAGGACAGGGTTCTCTGGAGGGCAGGCACTTGTCAAGGTGCTGGGACCTTCAGAAGAACATCAGAACTCCATTTAGTCCTCCACTGTTCCACCTGCAATTCTGAGTGAAAATCTAGCGTAGTGCTGGTGGCCTGGCTGGGAGGAGTATTTTCTCTGCACTGCCTCCTTCTCCCTCTGCTTTGTAAGGAAGCAAAGGTGGACGAGAGAAAGGGAGGTGTGTCCCCCAGCCCAGGGAAATGTGCACAGCAACTACGGAGCACATTGGCTAGGACTGGGAATAGCGAATAGAATTTGTGTTGAATGCGGACAGTGGGAACTGCTCATAGTGGGGAGAGTGTTGCAATGGATTCGTCCACCAGCGGAGAAAACCCAAGGAGCTGAATGCAACAGCCGAGGGCGGCTCACCGCATTGCCTCCCCAGTCTCTGTAGACCCTGGCTCCTCTGGAGAACGTTATGGGAACGCATGGCCTCTTATTAGCAGAAAGGCAAGGGTGGGAGACACACTTGGAGCCCAGGACCCAGAGGGACCCATGGGAAGTAGATCCCACTTCCCTGCCCTAGCCCCACCTGCTCGCGGCAGCAGATACAATGAGGAAGCAGCTAACAGCTGCTAACAAGTTACAGCTGGTGCTCAGACACCCCCCTCTCCACCCCTTAATCTGGGGAAGATGGCTAATTAGCAGGGAGTTGGGTCTAAATGTGGGTGGGTAGGAGGAAGTGAAGAGATGCAAGGGACCCACAGTTTCTCAACTCAAAACCGCATCATCTGAAGAGCATTGAAGGCCCCGGGGGCCTGGACCCTACAAGTTGGAGCATGTGGCTGTCTAGCAGGCAGCTGCCAGGAGCCCCACGTGTGTGGTCCGGGAGGATTCCTGGCCCATCGCACGTGGATTGAGTTCCTGGGAGGGCCCCTGCATATACACTGATATGGGTGTACACACACAAATGGCACAACAAGACACACAAAACACAGATGCATCATAACACGCAGGTACATACCAATGGTGTCACAAGTCTTCAAATGGGCCTGGGCTCACACACTGACAAGACACAGACATACACACAATGACGCAGACACACACAAACACACTCACCCAGCCCACTCAGAGATCCTGGTTTACAGTCTGAGGTGGGACCCAGACTTTGGAATATTCTAGGAACTGTAAGAAAACCACAGGCTGCCATGTGAGGTAGTGAGAGTCCCATCCTGGGAGTTACGTAGATAGGATGAGGGAAATGAGGCGTGGATTTGGAGGCTCTGAGGCCTGGTTCCTCTTCTCTCATGACCAGAGTACATCTGCTAGAGGCCCAGGACATAGGAGTCTTTTCTGGAACCAAGTTTGCTGGTACTTTCTGCCTGGTTGCTGTGCGAAATCCTTTAGCAGTTCTGCCCACCCTACCCCAACCCTCTCCCAGCCATGAAGACTTCCTGGGAGCTGAAGAAATAGCAGCTCTGCAGCATCAGCACAGTCAGACAGACTGATGGGAAGGGGCAGGTGTTATGGTCCTTTCAGGCCCTGCATCTGGTGGGTTATCTGGACAGATGGCTGCTGGTAAAGTAGACTGACCGGAAGCTTCTTTTGAAGGGACTGGGGGAAGTTTGAGGTGCATCTTCCACCAGCAGTATAGTGCAAAGAGGCAGAAACACAAGCCAATGGTACAAGTCCATCTCCTGAAGATGTCCTTAGGGCTGGAACGATTCTAAGCCAAACTCAAGGCCCCAAACCACCTCGTTGGGTTCCAGCAAGCCCAGGGAGCAAGATGGCCATCAACATCTACCTCCCAATCAGCCCTGGGGAGAGGGACCTCGTCCCAGCCATAGCTCCAGCGCAATGCTTAGGACAAAACCAAGGAGAGGCTCAGTCAAGGGCTGGTGAACTCTCAGAGAACACTCAGCAAGGTTGTTGGGTAGAGACTGCTCTTTAACACCAAACATGGGAGAGTAGCTAATGTAATGGCAACCTAGATTCCTGTGGTTCAAATCCCAGGTGGCCACTGGCTTGCTGTTTGTTCCTGGGCAAGTTACTTAATCTCTCTGAACCCCAATCTTCCTCCTTTCCACCTGCCTCAGAGTCTCAGGAACTACAGGAGAACATATGCCAGGGTTTTGCTCTACAGTGAGAACTTAATGTAGCTCCCAGAAGTTTCCTTTGAGAAACACACTCCCACCAGAATTTATATTCATCTCTAAATAGTGTGCAGTGAAATTGCTACCTTCAGTTTTTATTTTTTCACTTGTACTATTGACACATTTGAAACAATTCTAATAGTATCCCAAATAGTACAACATATATATTTATATATGTATGTTGTGTTGCTGTTATGTGCTGTGGAGCTGGTTCCAACTCATAGCGACCCTGTACAGGGTTTCCGAGACTGTAAATCTTTATGGGAGCAGAAAGTCTCATCTTTCTCCTGTGGGTATAATATATATATACATATATATATATAGTTGTTTTCTTCAGGTATTTATACATTTGTTGTTATATACTATGGAGTCTGTTCCAACTCACAGCAGTCCTGAATAAGGTTTCGAAGGAGTAGCTGGTGAGCTTGAACCGCCAACCTTGTGGTTCACACCAATTTTGCAATCCAACACATTAGCCCTCAGCACCACACCAGAACTCCATATATATATATCAAGTGCCATCGAACCCATGCTGACTCAGTGTAGGCTTTCTGAGGAGAAGCTGGTGGTTTGAACTGGCAACCTTGCAGTTAGCAGTTGAGTTTGGTGGGATATCTTTAGGCTTGTTTGTAACGTTTTATTATCCCACCAAATAATATATAACAACAAACAAGCATACAAAAACTATCACAAGTAATGAAATTGCTGCATGTTTCAAATATTTTTTAGTTTAAGAAATAAAATGTAGAGTGGCCACCAAAGATACAATTATTGGTCTCTACTCATTCACAGCGAAAGAGGAAGAAGGAAAGCAAAGACCCCCAGAAGAAATGAACACACAGTCTGACTGACCCACGTGGGGTCACCATGACTCAGGTTGGACCTGCCCACCACTGCTCTTTGGTTACATAATTAAGACAGAGCCCTGTGCAGGAAGAGACTTTGTCAGTTTCCCTTCATTTCTCAGAGCGCTTTAGTGATCCCATGAATGGATTTTGATGGGTACCAACCACCATCCAACCATGACCTACCTGCCACGTTGGCCATCCGTAGGGCCTCCTGGTTCTTGGGCGTCTTGGACCGGTTCTGGCTGCGCTGCTTACCCCCCGCTGAGCGGATGCTCCGTAGGTGGACCTCTGTGGCCTTGAAGAAGGCTACCATGAAGGGCTGCTTGTTCTGGGGCCCATGCCGCCCGATCAGACCCGCCAACTTGGGGTTAATGCTCTGCCCTAGATGGAACCAGAGAAAGGGCTGAAGCAGGCTGCAAGCTCAGCGGGGGAGACTGCATTCCCACCTGTGAATTCTCTCATGCATTGTCCGAGCATGCGGTGGTGTTTGCTGAGTACCGACTCTATAGCAGGGGCTGTGTGAGGAGCTTGAAACACACTGTGAAAGAAACAAAATCCAAACGGTTTCCACAGGCCAGACAGTACCAAACACCTGCCCGTATCCAGCTACCCAAAGATGACAAGGTGGAGATACTAGAGAGAGATGGGAGGTCACAGGTTCGTGGTATAAGTAACATCCACATACATTTTATTGGCCAAAGCAGGTCACTCGATCCACCTAATTTAAACAGGGCTGAGGAAGTTCGGAGAATCTTTGGTGGTGGCTGTTCAAACCCACCAGGAGCGCCACAGGAGAACGAGATTGACAGTTTTGGAAAAACCTTCTATAGGGTCGCTATGAGTTGGAATTGACTTGATGGCAGTGGATTTGTTTGTTTGTTTGTTTTTTGGAGGAAGTACAATCCTTTTCTGGAGTCCTGGTGTGGCGCTGTGAGTTAGTGTGCTGGACTGCATGGTCAGTCTGAACCAAAAGGTCAGTGGCTCAAGCTCACCAGCTGTTCCTTGGAAACTCTATACAGGCTTGCTGTGAGTTAGAACTGACTTGATGGCACTTAACAATAACAACAACAATCCTTTTCTGAGCCAAAAAGGGTTCGCAGTTGCCAACAGTTCTCCTGACACTCGCTGTCCCCATGGGAGGGGACTGTACGCATTGACCTGGATGGATACTTGTGCAAAGATGTTCCAGGCCAAAGGGACTGTGAGCACAAACTGTGAGCTCAGAGGTGGGGACAGTGAGTGTCCCAGAGGCAGAGGCACTGAGCAGTCTCATCCAGCCTTCACTCTGCATGAATTGGGAACCCCAGTGGCACCTGAGCTGAGGGTGGGTGGCTGGGCTCACTTTTCAAAGATCCCCTCTGCCTGTCCTGGAGATCCGACTGCAGAGAGTAAGGACAAAAGAATGGGGGCAGAGGGGGTAAGACGTGATCAGAGCTGGAGCTGTTTTTCTTTAAACCCCTCCCTGGCATTGTTGGCTGAAGTTTTTTATTTGGGGACAATTATCGAGTCCCTCCCTTCACCAGTTTTCCCCCACAGTCTCAGCCCGCACAGTGAGAACACAGCACCTAACCAAGGCAGGTCCTGGATCAACTTTGGAAGGGACTGGGCATGAAAGGTGGGAATTGGTCACAAGGCACATCCACACTTAGGGTGTGAGTTCTGGAAAGAACAGGGTGCAGCGGGTAGAGGTGGGAGGGCAGACAAAGCGCTGTGGGGCTCAGTGTAAGTTATTTGACAACCCAGCCTAATGAGTCAGGGAGTTGGTTAGGTGGGAAGCTCGACCTCCATGCTGGGACCCAGCAAAAAGACTGATACAGGAGACCACAGCCAAGCCAGACTCACGCAGACAGTCCTTGGCACAGACGAGATTGAGCAGACTGGGCTGCTGGTGTGAATGGGGGAGTCCTCGGAGCAGAGATAGGGTGTGTTTGGGAGAATACCCTGATTGTGGGTGCAGGTGGACCACAGTCTGAAGACAGCTCAGTCATGTAACCTTCAGGGGGGAATGCAGGGAAAAAGAAGCTGGAAAGATCTGGAAGAAGCTTGGGCATCAAGTGGTCCAGGAAGAGGACAGGTCTATGTGTCTTGTGCTCTACCGGTGGGTTGGTGAGGCAGGGCTGAGAACAGCCCATGCAAGGGGCAGTGGTGATACCTGGTGATCACACGCATCGCAACAAAAAACAAAGCCAGCGATGGGGATGTTGAGGAGCTATCTCACTGATGACAACAGGCTCAGCACCATGAACCATCACCCAGGAAGCCCTGTGAGTCAGCAACAGAGCAGAATCCGAACCCAGGCCAGGTTGACGGAGAGGCCCAGCTGGTGACGCTCCAGAGGTGAAGTCTTCATTTGAGAACACTGGTGGTTCCTGGAGGCCCTGGGCCCATCCCTGTCTGTAATCACAGGAAATCCAGCAAACCCGCCTGCCAAGATCAGATTTGCACCAGGGGTTCACTTTGGTTTTTTAACAACTGATGTTTAAAAGCACATGCATGGTGATTCTCCTTCAACCTCAGGTTTCCCTGCATTCTTAAGCGGGGTTTCCACGAGTTCACCCATCTATAATTTGAATGAGTCTGTAAAAGGAATCATTAAAGCTGAGCCCCTAGGAATGGTGCCCCTCAGCCGCCAGAAGGCTTTTAAGGAAAAATAAAAATGCCTGAATACTGATGCTGTGCCGACTGAGCTGGGACCCAGACAAAGGGGAAAGAAGAGGAAGGTCTTAGAGTATGAAAACCCCCTTCAGCCACTGACCAGTCTGTGTGGCCCAAAAGAGGTGAGGTTGCATGTGGGAGCCTCAACCTTCTCACCTATAAAATGGGTACCAATGCCTCCATGTCACCCATGTCCTGTTTCCTTGGCAGCTGTTTTCCTTTTGGCAACAGAGCCTTCATCAGATGCTCTCCCCTCCTCATCACAGGAGTAGGGCCTATGATCCAATAACAAAACCAGACCAGTTTTCCATCACGTCAGTCCCATGTGTGCAAAGTAGAGCCACATAAGGTTTAAGGAGGTGACCACCTATCAGTAAGGAGCTCTGGTAGTGTAGTGGTTACAAATCAGGCTGCTAACCTCAAGGTCAGCAGTTCAATACTACCAGCCGTTCCACGGGAGAAAGATGAGGCGTTCTGCTCCCGTAGGATTTGCAGCGTCGGAGACCCTGTGTAGGGTCACTATGCGTCAGAACCAACTCCACGGTACTTAACAACAACAATACCTATCAGTAGATTGCCAGACTTTTCTTCTGAGGTGCCTATGAGTGGGTTTGCACAGACGTCTCAGTTAGAAGTCAGGTACTTAACCATTTGTACCAGCCAGGGACATGGCAACTAATTAGCCCTGATGACACAACAGTTAAGCTCCTGGCTGCTGACAGAAAGGTCCAGTGGTTCGAACCCACCCAGTTCCACAGAAGAAAGATCTGGTAATGTGTTTCTATGAAGATGACAGAAAACCTTATGGAGACAGTTCTAGTCCATCACATGGGATCAGAATGTCTAATCGACTTGCAGCCCCTAACAATAATAATAACCCTTCAGGTATGGGTGCATGACCAAATTCAGCCAATCAGTGGAGGAGGTTTTGGGAGAACAAACTCCCTACTCTTACAACCAGAAGCAACTTTCTTTCTCTCTGGACAGGACTGAGGGGAGAATGGACGGAGCCCCCCCAAACTATCAACCATCCAGCTACCAGAAGGGGGAGCATGTTTGCAAGTGAGGCTGACCTTATAGAAGGCAGAGCACAGATCTCCTCAGACCTCACTGAGCCACTGGATCAAACCAGTTCTGAAGCTTCCTTGCTTGTCCCCTTGACTGTTTAGCCTGACCTGGTGTTTGAGGTAGTTCATGCTTCTTTCTTCCAGGCTGGAGAACACTGTATCTGGTTGTAAAGAATCTTGGGCCTATCACACACCACAGGGCCCAGAGGAGAGAGGGGAAGAATCCCTTCTATCACTAAGCTTGAGAAACAATGTAAGTTTTCAACTAAATGCTGAACAACACAACAAAAAAGAGGTTTGGAAAACACTTTGCCAATTCTTCAAAAAGTTGGAATTACTTGCAATTCTAGGTGGACTCCTGAGTGTATGGAAACATATATTCACACCAAAACTTATGCACAAATGTTCACAGCACCAAGGCACCAGGACGTAGAGATGCGTGGAGAGCCACAAGCAGGGTGTGAGCTGGGTCACCTGGGGGGGCAGGTGGGAACTGAAGTCCCCTTCAAACCTTGTGCCTCCTCTCGACTTCCACATGGCTCTGGGCAGGAGACTGATGGACCCTCACATTGTCTTAACTTCCTCTCCTTCAACAAACTCAGCAACCAGGTAGGGGTGGTCTCCGTTCACCCAGCCCCAGACTATGCTCTAGAACTGGTCCTAAAGTCAGTCGTTCCCTCAACCCAGGCACCATGAACATTTGGGATGGATAGACAGCTCTTTGTTTGTTAGGGAGCTGCCCTGTGCACTGTAGGATTTTTAGCTGCATTGCTGGCCTTGGTCCACTAGATGCCAACAAATCCTGCTCCCCTCCCAACTGTGTCAACCAAAAATGTCTCCAGATGTTACCATATGTCCCCTGGGGATGTCAAACCATCCTTGGTCAAGAACCACTCACTAAGGTAACCCTAGACAGGTTAAGCTTCTACAGGAGAAGTTGTTAGTTTTGTTTTGTTTTTGCAAAGCAGAGCAATTCGGCAATGTTTTATTTTCGGATTAGAACATTTTAGTCACAATTTTAGGAAAGTCCATTTACTATGAACTTACGTACTTAACTTTGGTAGCATATGAGCATTTAAACAGTGTAAACCTAGCTTCAAGAAACCAATTTCTCCCACAACAAACAATTCTGTAAACTATCATGGTGTCAAAGGAGCTCTGGTAGTGTAGTGGTTAAGAATTGGGCTGCGAACCTCAAGGCCAGCAATTTGAAACTACCAGCTGTTCCGCAGAAGAAAGATGAGACTTTCTGCTCCTGTAAAGATTTACAGCCTCGGAAACCCTGTACAGGGTCTCTATGAGTCAGAACCGACTCCACGGCACATAACTACAACAATAATCATGGTGACAAGTAGCTAATCCACAGTGTCATGTGGATTTATTTCTTTAATAATTATAAAAATTTTTTTGACAGTTTATGTTGTATAACCATGTTCCACTGCTGCCTTTATTTATTTTTTTTTTTTGATTTCTTAATTTACTCTTTTTTTCTTTCACAGACCATCTGTTTTACATTCAACAAATCATACACTTTGTTTCATTACAATGATTAGAATCCCCTCCATGTACTATCAGTTGACAGTATTTCTCTCTATTCATTTTAGCTCTTTTTTTTTTTTTAAACACTCAGGAATATGTAATATTTTACAACACCAAAGG